GATGACATCATTAATGATGACGTTTAGTGTTGATAACTATTCATAACGGGTGGCTGCGCCCCTAATAATTAAGGCAAAATGGCTACTCGAGTGGTTACTTGTAAATATTCCTGGTGTTTCTTCACTAAAAAGAGTATCTTGGGGTGGCAAAAGAGCTTATTCTGTTCGAGAGAAGTGTTCTACAGATGCCTACTCCTGGTTCTGCGACTGATTGCTGTCTCTACTCTCTACACGTGTCTAAATACGTGTCATAACTATTAATTAATGATCTGTTGCACGCCCAATTTAATGTTTACTTCCTCTACAGTATCGTGTGCATTCTATTTCCGTGAACGTGTCCCTTTAATGGCCTGATTTCTATTTATTAACTCTTAAGGAGAGAAATCTTAGTTTTTATAATATTTTCTGATACATGTACATGTACTTATGTTGTGTAGCAAGTTTGAGCTGATTCCGATCAAAATTGGATTTTTATGAATTTTTAAAGTTACTCAAAAGTTTGTGTAAAACATGATTATTGACAAATGTAACGTGATGCAAATGATATTCACGAGCATAATACTCAATGTAACATCATGGGGGCCTCTCTAAGTCACTAGAACAATTGCAACATGTGGAGTTAACTTCAATTAATTAACTGTTACTACTACATGTATATCCTTGCTTGTTTAGAATGAGTCAAATGTTTAATTGTTTATACCGTATGGCGGGAAATTTTGGAAGGACTAAAATTTGGCAGATTGCTAAATTTTGGTGATTGGCAGATTTTTAAATTGGCGAATTAGTGGCCACGTGCCATTGAGCATGCGTATAATGGCTCAAAATGGCAGATTTTATTTTGGTGAATGGCTATCAAAATGCCAAATTCACCAAATTTAATTCCCTCCAAAATTTCCCGCTATACAGTATTGACAGTTTAAGACAGGTTTAAGTTTATAAGTTAACCATTCAAAAATTGTATAGATTACTCTCTATTCATATATAAACTGTACATAAATACCGTATACTGGGAAATTTTCGAGTAGCCAAATTTTCGCGAATTTCGCGTTTTTTGCTCCGTCGCGAAATTCTAAATTTCCATTGAAACGTGGTGGAGTTTACAGGCTATTCGCGAAAATATTATTTCGTGAAATCTTACAAATGCAAAATTCGCGAAAATTTAGCGACGCGAAAATATCCCAGTATACGGTACTCAGTAATTACATATATATATTATTATTAATACAATATTCACTAGGTCAATACAGTGTTCTTAGAGCCAGTGATGATGATGATGATACTCCCCCACCAGTACCAGCCTATAATCCTAATGGAGTACAAGAATACTCTGAACTGAAGAGAGAGGGAGAGGTATAATAAACAGAATACCAGACATACAATAACAATAATGTATAATAGAAAAAGAATAAACAACAACAACAACAACAAGGAGCTGGTCCACTTTATTCAACACTCAATCAAGACTATGATACTCCTCCTCCTGTTCCTCCTGCCTATAATCCTGAGGGAGTACAGGAATACTCTGTATTGAAGAGAGAGGGAGAGGTCAGTGATTAATGAGGATTGTTTAATGGATCATATTATGTATTGTTAATAGACCTCAACAGGGTCTGTCTACTGGTGCTACTGGACTATATTCAACCATTAATAAAAACACCAACAACCAGGTATGGATACATGTACATAATCCACTCTTGACATAATATATTGGGTTTAATGAACTACATGTACATAATGTATTGGATTTAATGAACTACATGTACATAATGTATTGGGTTCAATGAACTACATGTACATAATGTATTGGGTTTAATGAACTACATGTACATAATGTATTGGGTTTAATGAACTACATGTACATAATGTATTGGGTTTAATGAACTACATGTACATAATGTATTGGGTTTAATGAACTACATGTACATAATGTATTGGGTTTAATGAACTACATGTACATAATGTATTGGGTTTAATGAACTACATGTACATAATGTATTGG